TAAGAACTCATCAAAATTTCGCCTTCAAATATCTTCATAATCTGAAAAGTATTTACTTCCTTGACATATTTCAGATATGAAAAAAAAGGAATAAATTCATCTTTTACTGGAAAATGTATTTTTAAAATATCTTGTTCATCTTTTAATTTATAATAAATAATTTGTTTTAAAGAATCAATATTTGGATTATCTTGCCAATATTTGAATGGGTTTTGCCAGAGTATCGGAATCGCAATTCTAGCCCAAATTCTACATACTATAACACAATCAAATAAAGAAATGTTCATATCATAAAGTTGGGAAAATATCTTGATCAAAATCTCAGGAAGTAACATTATATTTGTATATAAAAAAATGACTAAAAATCCAAATTTTTCTTGTCTTTACTTTTACTGAAATCACATGTATTTTTGGAACGAGATTTGCGTTGAGATGTTAAGATAATGATACAAATAAGTATTGTAAATGCAACAACACCAGGTCCCATTTTTATTATTATTTTTATTTTTTTAATCATGAATCCAATTTTATTTATATTTTCTTAAATTAATAATTAACAAATTATTTTTTTTTCTGAAATCTTTGTTAATTTATCAATTATTAATTATATAAATACAGACCTTTGCTTATAAAAAAATATCGATTATATTTCATTAATAAATTAATAATTAAACATTTTAAAATGAATAATTTTTTTATTTTAATTTTTATCTGTTATATTCTTTTACAAATCCATGCTTCATCTTTTGATAAAGGTAATATTGAATTTTTGTTGATAATCTAATCTTATATTAATTTAATTTTGTAAATAGAACCTTCTCCTATGAAGCATTGTAGTTTTTTTAATAAACTAACAGGAGGATGTGATGATGGACAAAACATTGGTGAAGATTGTTCGGTTTTACCTTGTAAAGAAAATTTAGAATGTAAAAATATTGATAATAAATATATTTGTGTATAAATACTTTAAAAATTTCTTATATAAGTACGTTTTCTCTAATTTTTTTCTTTAAAAATTATTAATTCAATCATGAAATTTAACATCTTGACTATGATTCTCATCTTCTTTTTTGTTACATGTGCATTAGCAATTCCGAATTCAAAAGGTATTTTTATTTAAATTATTATTTATCATAATTGTCATTATTCATTTTATTTTTTTTTTTTTATAGACGAATACATTCTTCAAAAAAGAAGTAAAAAAGATAAAGAAAATGATCACGATGGTAAAGATGAATAATCAAAAATATTAAATTGAAAATTCTGATAATATCATGTATTCAATTTTGAAAATAATGAATAAATTTTTATTTTAAAAATAAACCTGAATTCATAAATTAATAATTGTAAAAAATAAATAAATATAATAACGATAAATTAAAAAAAAATCTTCTTAATAATAACTTTTCAACCATGTTTATCCTTTTCAACTCCCACTAAAATACCCTTCATCACTGATGTAATCATTATCAACAACTTCACTCTCTTCACTTTCTTCAATATGTGAAAAATCAAAATAACTTCTTTCCAATTCATCAATCTGAGAATCAGAAATATCATCAATGCATAATGAAATCATATTATCTTCAATATCATTACTTTCTTGTATGAATTCTGAGAGTAAAATCATATACTCCATACCCAATTTTTCATAAAAAAACATTTGAAATTGAGAAATGAAAAAATCTCCTTCTCTGATTTTTAAATCAAGATCGTTAACAAAACCGAAATAAGAAAACCCATCCTTATCAAAATTCATATTGAATTCTTCAATATGTAAAAATTCTTGAATAAATTCTGAATAAAGTATCTCGTATTTATCACCCAAACATTCACTAAAAAACATTTGATATCTAGTAATAAAAAATTCTCTTTGTTCAATCTTTGAATAAAGATCATTAATTTCATCAAAAAAATAAACGTCATGATAAAAAATATCATGTGAATTCTCAAATTCTTTGACATTATTAATGAGTGAATATTCAGACATTATAATTTTTTTTTTAATAAAAAAAATATAAAAACGAATGAATTTTATATATAAATCATATTAATAATTTGAGAAAAAAATAATTATAAATACAAGTAAATTAGTAATTAAAATTCTTTAAAAAAATGACTTACGAATGGAATAAAAAGTGGGACGAAGATTTACATTTAACAAAAGAACGATATTCAAAAAATTCCAATAAAAAAAATAAATCCAAACTCTCATCAATCAATAACGATGATCAAATTGATAATCAAATCAATGATAAAAAATCAAATATTAAAAAATTAAATAAAAGTAGAATAGATGATATTGTTAACGAAGCCATGGAATACTCTTGTCAAGAATCAATTATTGAAAATAAGAAACAGGAAGTTTTCATGGAAAATAAATTGAAAGAATATATCACAGAAATAAATGATAATTTTGATATTGTTGAACCACTCAATTTTAACGAGATTAAAGATGGTCTTGATCCTAAAATCATATGGATGTTTCTCATCATCATGCGAGTAACTTATCAAGAATTATTAAAATTAAATACCAATAAGATTGAAAGTAGAAATTATTATATGGATGATTACAATGCAAGAGGTGGATACGAAGGAGCAAGAAGAAGAAATCAAAAAAGTTACAATGCTTGGTAAAAAATTGTAAATGGTTTTGTTAAAGATTGGGATCCTAGAGATGCTATAAATTTTTTAGATAAACATCGCGGTTGGCGTTAATGATACAAATTATATTTTTTTATTTATTACGTAAATAAAATTTTGTTTATTTAATTATTTGATATAAATAAAATAAAATATTTTACAATTTAAAGTAAAAACTAATAACGTAATTCTTTGAATAATAAATTATACAGATATTAACTTACAAATTACTAATTCATTTTACTTTAAAAATATATTGAATTTTCCCGCAGCTACTATTGTCTTTAAATCAACAATACCCCCAACAAATTCTATTCGATCAATCATTTCCTTATTTAAATTACTAATTTCGACAACACTATCAGAATTACAAACTTTGATTTTTTATCTGATTCGATACTATTTTTCTTTAACGATTCATTTTCACTTTTCAATAAATCATTTTCTTTTCTTATCATTTTATTATATTCTAATAATGAATTATTTTCTTGTTTACACATTTCATTATCTTTCAAATGTGAATCATTTTCTCTTTTCAATAAATTATTCTCTTGTTTTAATTTGTTCGATAGTTGTTCCAATTCTTGAATATTTGAATTAAGATTTATCAATAATTGTTTTTGTCTTTCTTTATAATTTCTTTGATTATTACGATTAATTCTTTTTTTTTTATCAATTCTATTATCGTCATTCGATGATTTTCTTCCTCTTGATGATTTTGAATCCATTTGTTTTTAAATTTATTATGTTACATAAATTTATCATATAATAAAATACTAAAATATTTATATCTTTCGTATTAGTAATTTAATTACTAATTTTCATATCAATATTACTAATTAAAATTTATAAATAATGATATTCGAATAAAATTCTTAAATAATTTGTATCACCTGTATAACAAATTCAAAACTTGTGATTATTTTTATTAATAATAAATATATCATTTTTTCACGCAATTCCCAATATTATCAAAAAAAATGTCTTTGTCAAATACAGAAAACATTTCTTTTAGTGATAAACCAATCGAAGAAGATAATAATCTCATAAATGAAACTTTACAAACATGCGTAATTTGTCATGATGAAATAACTTCTTTATATCAATTACCATGTAATCATATATTTCATGTTAATTGCATCGAAATATGGTTAAAAAAGGATGAAAATTCTAAAAATTGTTCGAAATGTAAAGATCCATATAATGAAGACGAATTAAATACAATATTAAAACATATTGAAGAATCAAGAAATTTAAAACTCAAAAGAAAATTAAAAGAAATAGAATCAATTAAAAGGAATTTCGAAAGAAGTTTAAAAAAAACAGAGATCAAAACTGAGAATAAATTACATGATGAAAAAAAAAAATTCAGAGATAGAAAAAAAAAACTCAAAGATGATTACGATACTAAAGTAAAAAAATTAGAAGAAGAGAATGAGAAAATGAATAAAAATCTCAATGAAGAAATTAAAACAAAAAAATTAAAACTATCAAATGAAAATGAAATTAGATTAGAACATATAAATAAAAAATATGATTTATAATTTATCATCCATTGTAAATATTTCTAGAAAATTCTAATATAGCATTTAATTTTTTTTCATAATCGTTCACATCTTTATCTTTTAATTCGATTTCTAAATTTTCACATATCATATCTATCACATCTTTGTAATTTTCTTCAATATTTTTTATTTCTGTTTGTATAAATAAATGTTTATTTTTTATCTAAACACTCATATTAGTCGTAACGAATGTTATTAATAATATTATGATATCTAAAATAAATTTATATAATAAAATACGAATGACATCTTTGTCAAACAACTCTAATACATCCGAATCAAAATTCATTTAACTAATATGTTATTTTAAATACAATATTTATAAAAAAAAATCATTCATGTTCGTAAATATCAACATGACCAACATTAAAATATTTTACACCTTGATATTCAAATTCTCCTACATTTGTTAATTTAATATATCTTTTAACAGGTTTATCACCATCACCAAGATGAATCTCTTTATCTCCCCATTTTAAAAAATCTTTAGAATTTTCTATAAGATCATATACTTCTTTTTGTCTTTTTTTTCTTTTTTTCTTTGAATCATCATTATTGTTTTCTTCTTTATTCACGACATCAAATTTAACGACCTTTTTTTTTTTCTAAGATTAAATTCTTCATATTTATTAGGTATTAAATCTTTTGATTCCATCTTATCATTTTTTTTTTCAACATTATTCACATCTCTCCATTTTATGGTTTTTTTGAATACCTCAAAAAAATCTGTATCTTTACAAAATATAACATTTTCTCTATTATAATTACCAAAGATATTTTTATTTGAAAAAATAAATATCTTTGATGGATTGGGAAAACCGTTAAATTTAGTAATGAATTTATCAAATTTATATAATGGGACAAATTCATCAAAGGAAAATATTCCATATATTAAAAAGGATTCAGAACCATATTTTACTTCTACAAGAAAAATATTATGTTCAATATCATGACTATTACACTTTACTCTGAATATTTTTTCCCAATCATCGATAAATTTTTGTTTAAATTTTTCAAATTTTTCAGTCATTTTAATATGTATTAAACAAAGAATAGAATAACTCTAATTTATAAATATTTTTTTCTCACAAATAATTAATAATACATCATATTAATTAATAATATCTAATTCTTATTTATATCGATGATTAAAATTACATATAACATTATTTTATAAATCCTAAACAGTTGGATAAAAATCAATTATGATTATCAAAAATTACGATTATTTCAAACTCAAGAAAAAAATAATGAAGAAAAGAATTCCAAGAAAATCAAGAAAAATCTCGATCGAAAATGAAGTTTTAAAACTTCGACAAAAACACGAAAATGAATTAAATTCAATATCATACAACATTTCAAAAATCGAAGAATTATTCAAATACAAGAAACTCTCTCAAGAATTTGATTATATGAATTTATTTGAAAATTTAGATATTAAAGATTTATTGAATTACTCTGATATTTTTTTAAAAAAATAATCATTTATGTTTTTATGTTTTACATTGTATGAAATTATTATTATCAAATAAAATAAATTTTTAAAACTT